GGGGACTGCCCGGTGCCCAGGGGCAGGGTTGCTCATGCACCGGGCGTGCAGGGGTGGGGCTGCACAGGCGCTGTGCACCCAGGGGCAGGGCTGCCCATGTGCCACATGCCCGGGGCTGGCACCACGCATGTGCTGTGCGCCTGGGGCAGAGGCCATGCACGTGCCGTGCTCCTGGGGCTGGCGCTCACCATGCGCCACGCGCCTGGGGCCGGCACCACACATATGCCGCACGCCCAGGGCGGGGGCTGCCCATGTGCCCGGGGCTGGCACTGCGCATGCGCCATGCACCGGGGGCAGGGCCGGCCCAGATCATTTGCAGGCTCACATAAATACCCTGGTGGGTGCCATGGCACCCACAGGCACCGCATCTCCTGGGGCTGGCGCTCACCATGCGCCACGCGCCTGGGGCCGGCACCACACATATGCCGCACGCCCAGGGCGGGGGCTGCCCATGTGCCCGGGGCTGGCACTGCGCATGCGCCATGCACCGGGGGCAGGGCCGGCCCAGATCATTTGCAGGCTCACATAAATACCCTGGTGGGTGCCATGGCACCCACAGGCACCGCATTGGGGACCACTGGTCTAAGCACTTCCAAAGCCTTTCCTTGCTCTGCTCTCTGCTGCCATTGTGCCTTTTTCTTTAGCAGTTTCCATAAGTAAATATGAGGTCTCAGAAAATTAAACCCTCCCAGCAGGACTCTTACTTTCTATTGATCTACCTGCCCCCCTTCCTTTCTTATAACAATGTCTAGGTGAGTCATTTGAGATTGGACCAATTGGGCTTTTTCTAAGCTAACCTTAAAACCAGTCTCTTGAATCAGAGCCAAAACATTCTCAGTTAACTGTTGTACCCGTGCCTCAGTTTCCCCGAACTTAAAATATCATCTACATAGGAAAAGACAAAGGGCTGGTCTTATGGCTAAAATATTCTAGCATATCAATAACATGTTTATCAGCTATAGCAGAACTATTATGAAAGCCTTGGGGCAAACATTGAAATGTCCACTGTTGCTCATTTATAGTGAAGGCAAATCTATCCTGTGAGGTTGGGTGAAATGGAATGGGAAAGAAACAATTAGCAAAATCAATGTCCGAGAACTATTTTGAAGTCATTTGCACCTTTTCAATTACTTGTGTCATTGAGCTATAGGGGCCATAGGGATTGTGCCTTTAGTAATACGCCTGTAGTCAATAGTTACATGCCAGGACTTGCCATCTGCTTTAAGAACTGGCCATATGGGAGAATTAAAAGAGGAATTAGCTTTTTGAAGGTCATTCCCCCCTCCCATCTTTCTAAGTTCTGGATTATTTGTTGTAACTGTGTTTCAGCCTCCTTAAGATGGGGCATTGCTTTTGAGGGCGTACCAAATCCCC